GAAATTGAAACTTATCAAGTGAAATGCAAACCCTTCAAATTGAAGATGAACTACTCTGGCGACTGAGAAAAATAGAGGACGTCGGCTAGAGACGAATGTAGGCAGAAACTACTGGAGAATAGGAACCGACGAAATGAAATGCTCTTGTGAAGGCGGCCGAAGATGAAATAATTTGCGACAAAGAAAAGGGGAGTCGCCGGAGAGGAAGGGAGATAGCGACAACGGTCGAAGAAGAGCAACGGAGGTTCAGAGGAGGGAAACCCAACGGTCGAAGGAAGGAAAGAAAGACGAGGAAGAAGAACGGAGGTTTCGAAAATTTGGGGGTTTAGGGATTTTTCAATTTTTGAAAGTGTAAATGTTAAGGGATTTAATGGATTTAGCACGTTTGAAGGGATTTCCTCCCAATTTACCAATTATATAATGTAATAATTATTTAATATTGAGATGGATCTTATGGACATATTAGTAATTTGTGTTATTAGGGATTGTTTGTGTAAATTATATACTTTTCCATCATTTTACGTAATTATGATTCTTAAATAGACCAGTACTAATCCCTTATTTGTTTAATTAGGCCCACTTTGTTAAAAAAGTTTAGTAGAGTTTCATTAAACCATATTCACCACTCTAGAATTGTCATATCAATCTAACACGTGTTAGATATGTACTTGGTATTGGTTATGTTGATGCTATATTTTGAATGAAGTGACACGTCAGCATGAACTCAAAGTTGAAGCCTTACCAACCCGAATTGGTACTTGCATGTCAAAACCTAGCATTAGTGTGGTGCTCGGTCAAATGTACTTTGAAGCTTAAGTTAGGACTCCAAGTCGTACAGCATAAATGACGAGCTAGAAGTTTGTGCAAAAGATTGGATACCTTTGAGAATGGTTTGACTCTGCCTTTTATCGGAGAAGAATGTTGGGAAGCATGCTCAGGATAAACATATTTGTACCTATCAGTCAGAGGATATTTCGATGGCTAGAAAGATATCCTGGTAGCATATAGAGTCACTTTTCCGCCATATGTCAACATATATTTTGTCGGTTGAAACTTGCCCCAAGTAAGAGTCGAACTGAGCACTACTTGGTCCGACACGTGTACCTTTGCTCTCATTTCAATAGGGTAAGCTCGTTGAACCAGAAACACTTGTTCTACTATGAGTGGTCCAGTGTCACCCCGCTTTTACATCGTAATACTTTATATGAAATATACCTCAATGAGGCCGAATATTTATATATCAAACTTTCTTTCAAAGTCTCAAATAACTCTTTTCAAACTTGAGCTCCATGTTAAGAGTCAAATAGAAAAGAGTATCAAATTACCGATCTCATTTTCTATTTCATTTTATAAACTTTAAAAATATTTTGATTACATTTTTAGACTTTAAAATTACTTTTTTTTTAATCTTCATATTGTTTCACTTCAATTAAAAATCATAACCATATTCACAAACATAAGACAGACTATTAACTACGATAAGAATTAAAATAAATTAATTATTTTCATAATTTTCTTGATAAAATGGGAGTAACTTCACAACATCCGAGTTCAAGCAAGCTACCTCGGTGACTTTTCCTAAGGTTTGTTCCTCACAAAATCAAACAATGTGGCTGACTCCTTAGCCAGATTTGTTGTGATTTACTAATTAACGATTCAATTGGTTTCAAAACTTCATTGAGATAAATATATCTACTAACGTAGTCCAAGTGGCATCTCATTTCTAATAATTTTCTTCTTCTCTCGTACTCGTTTAGTTTGGTTTCTTGTCTTATAATTAAAATCGTGGTAAGTTCAATATAACCATTTTTTTCATCGAATGCACACTCAAGAAACAAGAACCAAAAAGTATAGTT